GGGAAATAAACAGAGCCAAGATAACTAAAAAGCAAGAAACTATATTTTGAACACTGTGAAAACAACAAAAATGAGTTTTAGAGTGTAGAGTTAGAATAGCTATTCTGAGCCATGCCTCCTTCAAAAGTCAGTAGTATAAAATAATTGTTGTCAAATCTCATGCAAAGTTTTTAAAGAAAAAAAAGACCCTTATAGAAAATAAAAACACAAAAGAAAGACATGCCCACAAAACAGATGAAAACCGTGAGATGTTAAGACAAAAGACATTATGAGGATAACATGGCATTTCAAAAAGTCAAATTTGCATAAGAAAAATTTAAAAATTAGGTGGTAGAACTCAATAAGGTATTAGAAATAAAATTTATTTTGAAAATGACCCAAATTAGAAGGAACACAAGCATAAATAAATGTAACAGATAATACCTTAAGAGGAAAAGAAGTTGAAAGGAGAAAGACATTAAAAATAAAAAAGATAAGGCCAGGCATGGTAGCTCATGCTTATAGCTTCAGCACATTGGAGGTTGAGAAGGGAGGATTATTTGAGTCCAGGAGTTCAAGACCAGCCTGAGGAACATAGCAAGACCCTGTGTCTACAAAAAATAGAAAAATTAGCCAGGCATAATGGTATGTGCCTGTAGTCTCAGCTACTTGGGAAGCTGAGGTAGAAGGATCACATGAGCCCAGGAGTTCGAGACTGCAGTGAGCTATGATTGGCCCCTGCACTCCAGCTTGGGTGACAGAGTAAGACCCTGTCTCTAAAAAACAAACAAATGAAAAAAAATATGAAAGAGGTGTAAAAAGAATTTGATAGAAATTGACATATTGGAAATAGGCAAAGAATCTCTAACATGTATAATAGGAGTCCCCAAAGAAGAAAACCACAGCCAGGGAACAGAACAGATACTAAAAATTATAATTTGAGACAATTTTAATGAATTAAAAACAGATTTGGAACTATATTTTGGAAGAGCACAGCACACACCTGAGACCACTGACACAAATACCAACACTGAGACATAGTCTAGCAAAATAATTGGACTTTAAAGGAAAAATAAACATCCTTCAGACATGCAGGCAGAAGTCACAAAGTCCCTTATAAGTGAAGGAAAATCAGATTATTGCCATTCTTTTCAATAGCAGTCCTTTGAGAGATAAGACTATGGAATAGTCCATATTTAAGATAAGAAAGCAGAAGCCAAAGATTTTATCTATAATCAAACTGATTTTCAAGTATGAAGGTTACAAACTGTTATCAATATGCTAGAACGTGAAGAATATTGTTCTCATTAGCCCTTCCTGACTAATCTACTGAAAAACAGGCTTCAGAGAGTCAAAATGACTAGAGACCATTAATTTAAAGACTGTTGGTATTGCACATATACTAAGACCAAATGAGGGGTTAAAAGGAGAAATTATGGTCTGCAAAGGGGTGAGAAGGAGAATGGAGGGATCGTACACAAAACTATTTTCAGTAATCATGTTGTTGGTGGTAGTATTGGTATTATTTCAAGCATCTGTGTGTAATGTGAAATAAAAAGCAAATAAGTAATTGTGTGACTCTAATTCCATCACAAACTGTCATTGAAAACCGCGATTCTTGGTATGGAAGAAAAAAGATAAAGATGACTGATGAGAGGTGTATGTTTGTGTATAGAGTGGGAGGGAGTGTTGGTAGCTGAGTTAGAGAAATAAGCTAAAAACATTCAACTCAAGGAGGTTTAAAAAAGAACAGATAAACCATCCTTTCACCAGGAAAAAAAGAAACCCCAGAAGAGAAGAAATTAACAATACAAAAAAATTATAAAGCAAAACCAGTAAAAGACAGATTTGACCAATAAAACAATGTAGTAATTAATTGGAAAGTGTAGTCAGAACAAAGAACAAAAAGACAAAATGTTGGGAATAAGAAAAATTAACAAATTCTAAAAATATGTGAGTAGTTAATCCTATAAATTTGAAAATCAAAATTAGATGTTATTTTATGGATGGGTTTTGTCAAACCTAAAGAACAGGAAATTTCTTTTTCTTTTCTTTTCCTTTTTTTTGACGTAGAATCTCACTCTGTCACCAGGGCTAGAGTGCAGCGGGGTCATCATAGCTCACAGCAACCTGAAACTCCTGGGCTCAAGTGATCCTTCTTCCTCAGCCTCCCAAGTAGCTGAGACTACAGGCATATGCTACCACGCTAGCTAAGCTTTCTATTTTTTATAGAGAAAGGGGCTCAGTATTGCTCAGGCTGATCTCAAACTCCTGAGGCCTCAAGCGATTCTCCCCCACAGCCTCCCAAAGTGCTAGAATTACAGGCGTGAGCCACTGCGCTCAGCTGGATAGAACAGGGAATTTCTATGTTGTTTTAATTATTTCAGAGTACAGAAACGAATGATAGCACCTCATTTTATTTAATGAGAAGGGTAAATCTGGATACTAAAACCTAGCAATACCAAAAAGTACAGTTTCACAGATGTGAAAGATGTGTCACATAATCTTCAATTTAACCCTCCAGATTCACTCTGCATTCCTGTTCTCCATCATAGGGGACCTTTCTGAACAACATGAATGGTTCTCTATGTCCCCTGCCTTCTATTAATAATTGGATTTGTAAATGTGGAACGCAGGAAGGAATTGGAGGAAGGATGAGATAAAAGTCCGGGTGTTTGTTCCCTTCTCACACTTTCTGTAGTGGAAGCCGTGGGCTGAGTGTCACTTTTCTTAAAGTCTTGGCCCTTCCTTTGGGGCTTATGGGTGGTAGGAGTTTCTCTCTTATTACTAGCCTGGGTAACTGCAATATCCCTTGTGATTCCCCTAAGCCTTACCCCACAGCTTTGTAAATAAACCCTTCTTAAATTAACTTAATTTGAGTGGGCCATCTGCTTCCTGTACACCCTGTTTGATACAGCAGATGAAATGAGAATTTTTGCATTTGTAGAAAATATTAAATTAAAAGATGTACTAGTTTTGACTAAGGAAAACAGTATAGAAAAAATATACTTTATAAAAATACACTATATTGCAAAGTTAAGAAAAATAGCAAATTTAGAAATATTTAAACTGCAATAGAGACCATGTACGTTAAAAATATATAATAGAGGTTTATATATTATTTGATTATATACTGTATATTAGATAGTATTGTATCTGTGTTAAATTTCCTGAATGTGATCATTGTATTGTGGTTTTATATATATATATATATACAGAAGAATGCCCTTGTTCTTAGGAGATGCATGCCACAATATTTAGAGTGGACAGCAAAAGAAAATAGTGTGTGTATGTGTAAGGAAAGATGTAAAGCAAATGTGTCAAAATGTTAATAAGTGGTGACTCGATGTTAAAATATATGAATATTCACTGTTACTGTTCTTGCAACTTTTTTGTAGCGTTGAAAACTTCAAAATAAAAAGTCGGGGGAAGGCCGGGCGTGGTGGCTCA